ATGTTGCATCACAATAAGAGCTGATGAGTTTGTCTCGCTCATCTTTGTGCAGCGCCTACAGCAGCCGTCTTGAAACAACAGTCATCTCCACATCTCGCCTTTTTTCTCAAAATGATCAATTTTGTTCTTGACGTGGCGCCAACACGCCGTCCTAAGATGGCGCTGCCAAGCAGGAGGAAGAGAAGAAGAGGAGGTGAAGGAGGATATGCAGAGGACTGATGTGACAGAGGAGGATGCTGGGATAGGAGGAGGAGGAGGCAGATGATTCGCTGTGGATGTGCAGGCGGGTGAATACCTCTTGGAGCGCTCGTCCTGTCCGTTGGGGCTCGAGATTTTGGCGTCCTCCTAAGCGGGGTCGACAGAGAACAGCATGAGGTGGTGTCAGGGAGTGTAGGGGGTGGGGGTGGGGGGGACAGGAGAAAATATAAACAGTTTAATGAGCGTCATTCAAACAGGAGGGGGAGGGGCTGTGTGTGTGTGTGTGTGTGTGTGTGTGTCAGACACACACACTCCAAAGTCCAGCTGCTCTTCAGGTGTGTGAAACTCCTGTGACGCCCTGAAGCAGACAGGAGGATTACAGCCTCGTTTCCACTCGCACCTTCTCTACTCGCTCGGGTTTAGGGTTTTCCAGGAACTGCTGGTACCTAAAAAAGTACCTGGTACCTAAAAAAGTACCTGGTACCTAAAAAAGTACCTGGTACTTTACTCTTTTAATACCTACTTGGCCGGGCATCCAGGAGATCTGAGCCGATCCAAAACTGTGACATCATCAGACTGCATGCCAGCAATTGGCCGGTGAGCGGCATCACTCGATGAGTCACGAGAGCGTCTCCCACACAAAAAACCAGAGAACGCTGCGCAAACCATCCCGCCGTGCAGCAGCGAGGACGCCGTCCTCCGCTGTTACGTTGATCATGTCACATACGAGACTTTCGGCCACGTTTCTATAGCAACACGTCGAGGTGCTACTTGTAATGGAAAACAACAGAAAACGAGTTGAGTGGAGCAGGTGGTAGTGGAAAAGAGGCGTTAGTCACTCAGAGCCAAGAACCAGAACCAGAGCTTAGGACACGCCCTCACCTGCACTACATAAATAATGTCTGATTAAACTGAATAGCTGCACACCTGTGTGAAGTCACACCTGTGTTGTGCAAGGTCGCACTGTGCACTTCCTGCAGAGCTGCTGCTCTAAATCGCGGCGCTTCCCTCTGGCGGAGAGCAACGTTGCTGCTCACCTGCACACAGGTAGGCCCCGCCCACCCCCACGTCCCGACCACCCGCATGCTAAGCTAAGCTAACTCTTCACTGTTCGACTTCATCTCCCAGAATCCTCTGCACTACCTCACCAGTGGAGGGGGGAGGGATGAGGGGGTCGGACCAGAAGCAGGTGACAGTGTAACCAAGGGAACTACAGTCATGTTACCATGGGCACCAGAGTACAGCAATGCATGATGGGGACTTTTACTACCTTCTGAGTGAGACAGATCACAGTGGCTTTCAGGGGAGCAGAGGTGAGAAATCGTTAGGCAAGTCTACAAAGAGAGATAGATGTGCGTTTAATTATGTGAAGGACGCGTCATCATCAACATCATCATCAGGGTCAGCCGCGCTCTGCTGCTCACACGCCACAGCGGATTTCAGTGTTTGGTCACATGATCACGTGTCAGCTGAACCATCAGCCAGCAGGCGGGCTGTGCTTCGTCTTTTGTAAACAGCGGTGAACGTTAAGCAAATGAAAGCGTTAAAAAACTGACATTTTATTGGTCAACGCAAAAATGTATCAACACGGAGGAAAATCACAAACGTAACCGACCGTGACGTGAAGGTCAGAGAGGAGACAGGGGGAGGGGCTTAGCGGCCAGAGGTTTTTCATGTTGAAAGGTTTTTCCTTGCCACTGTCACCACATGTGTGCACACCGGGGGGCGTCTCCGTGTCACCGTCCTTACCTGACAGCACCTGTATACGACTGCTGGTCTACAATAAAGTGAACGCCTCCCAGCTGAGGTTTTTCATGTTGAGGAAAATATCTGAATCTCCTCGGGATCCCTCAGGTGGTTCTGCAATAACCCTCTCCTCCTCTCGCCGCGGCGCCAAACCGATATGATCTGATCAGATCAACTTTTTAAAGTTTCAGGTTTGTTGTTCATTAAATGTCACAAACATGAGAACAGAGCTTTCTGTTACTCAAGATTCACACACCGATTTTAAACTAAGACTCCTCTCTGACTCCTCCTCCATGGTTTCCTGCTGCAATGCACTCTCTTATCTGGCACTTGTTTTTATATATTACAGTTTTTTCAAAATAAGAGTCCTCTTGCTGCACTCTGCATTCCAATAGTCCCTTTTGGACAGATTTATTAAATGGAGTAAATTATTGTGACATCACAGGGTGATCTAACAATTAGCAGTTCCCAGTAAAAACCAACAATCGGCTGAGAGAATGTTAATTAGTGGCTCAACAATCCTGAGGAGGGAGGGCGAGGGGGGGCGAGGGGGGGCGCTGCAGGCCCGCTAACCAAAATAATCCAGTGTGAGCTCAGGTTCAAGTGTTTGTCTCTGAAAACAGCGAGGCAGATACATGAGAGGAGGCTGAAGGATTTAACAAATAAGTCTTGTGACAGAAACCAGTGAGCAAAGGTCTGAGGGTCTGAGGATGAGGACTCAGGTGGAGCTCGGGATTCATCTGCAGGAGAGCTGCATCATCACAAACTGAAGTCTGTGTGAACAGCTGGCCTGGACGATGTGCAGAAGAACAGGAACGCCATTTACCGTCCGATCACGAGGCGTCCCACGTTACTGTACGAGCCGCCCACGCACTCATCTGATTTCCATCTATTAAACAAGGCGGGACTCTTTCACTGTCAGTCTGAGCAGTTTGCAGTAAACTGTGTCTCACACACTTAAACAGGCTGTTCCCATTTCTATGACCTCCATAAAACATCAGGGTCACAACACGTTGTGGCGAAGTAAGATGCACATTTTGTAGTCCATTGTCTGCACATCTGCAGTTTTAACATGGCAGACATGCGGCGCCACGCTGTTAATGAGAGACGAGCGTGAGGTCATTTCAATTCTCTGTGCACGGCTCCTCTCTTTTCCTAAGTCCTCAACACGGAAAGTGAAAGTGGTTAGGAAAAGGAGATGGGAGGGACTTTTGGAACGCAGCCCTGGTGTCAGTCTGGATCCCTGTGGAAGGTCCAGACAGGAAGTGATGTCAAAGAGCCTTAACGCTGCGAGTAGGTGAAGGAGGAGGAGTTACAGATGAACTTTGAGCTGACATAGTTTTGTTCATTTTCCAGCTCGCTGAGCGACCAATTAAACTGCTTACTGACGTCTGAAGGTGGGGTCAGGTGAGCAGCAGTGGGTGGAGCAGCAGAGTTCGGCTGACGGTCTCGTGAGCAAAGGACAAACAGACTCTCACCTTCTTGTATGGCGCCTCCAGCATCGCCTCGATGTCCAGGTCATCTGCCATCTTGCTACCTGCGCACCTACACACGCCGAGATAAAGAGTTTAATCACCTGCCACAGCTGTCCAATAGGTACAAATCCATTACCAGCTTATCAGTATCAGTTACCATGGTGACCAAACAGGTAAACAAAAATACCTGGCGTGTCGCCAGGTATTTTTGTTTACCTGTTTGGTCACCATGTGTCTGACGTCACTGTTACGCCTGTCAGAATCTACTTAAAGTGTAGACAAACATCATCTGATGACGGGATCAGCAGGTAAACGTTACACCTGGACTCCCGGAGGCTCAGCGTAGACAGGTGAACAGCACCTGGCTGTGAGCCTAACGTTAGCCTCTCAGGTGAACACGCGCTCAGTGACCCCCCCCCCGGCCGGAAAACCACCATCGGTGAGTCCGGTGTTTGCGCGGGCTCGGCCGGGAGGCTCCAGGTGAGTGTCACCTGAGTCCTCCACAGCAAGCAGCAAGCTCAGCATGCTAACAGTAGCGGGCCTTCCGCCGTTTCTCCGCGCTAGCGGGCTCCGAGTCGGGCTGAAGCCCGGCGGACAGGCCGGTACCGGGCTTACCTGGATGCAGAGTGGCTCGGCGGGTGTCAGCGAGCAAAACGTGTCTGTATCCGGGTAACGGAGCCTCTCCGGTGCTCGTCCGGGGGACGCTTCTCTTAGCTATAATGGCGAACGACGGGAGGGCTAGTGCTCTCGCGAGATCTGGATACAGCGAGATCAAAACAAAACAGCCGCGGAGTTACAGAAACTGAAAACTCAAACAAACTAAAGCAGTTTGACTTTGGCCACGTTAATAAACAGCCAATCAGAGGGCGACACCTTTCGCTCGGGACACGCCTCCCCGAATCTGCCGCTCACAAACACCGCAGCCAAGATTTCAAAATACTAAAGTACTATAAAAATGTCTTTATTATTTCCGTCCGTTTCTAGGCTACCCAATCCAAAAATATGACGACGTCAGCTCACGTCAGTATCCACACGTGGAAGAACTGCAACAATCTCTCATGATCACCAAACATGTGAATGGAAATAAAAGGATGAATACCAAAAGAAAAGATTCAAATGAGCTCCATGATGGAGCCGCAGAGCAGAGGGAACCTGCTTTCATCATCAGCACGATGAAGACTTAAAGACACTCAGTCACACCTGTTCTCACGTGAGTTCTCGAAGAGGTTCTACGTCCTTTGATCTGGTCAGAACATAAAAGCCTTCAAACAAACCATCGCTGTGTGGAAATGATGAGTGTGCTGTGGTGCTGTGGTGCAGTGATACAGACGTCACAACAAACAGGCAGATTCAGGTGTGTTCACCTTTATTAGAAACAGAAAAGTCACCTGCAACGCACAGGTGTGGCAGCATTTAATCAAAGCACGTAAAAACTCAGAGTGTGAACTTCATTCAAACACAGGCATTCAGGTCCAATCAGGTACCTGAAGGCCTGGGGTCAAAGGTCAGTGAATGACTGTTCCTTGACACCTTTCAGCTGATCACCACCTGTCATGGAGCTGGACAGGTGAGGGTGGGAGGCTGGCAGAGGGCTCACATTTCTTCTTTCTTCAGTCATTAAAGTCTTTTAACGGAAAACACAGATTCTATTTGACGCCTCATGACCTTTTATGTGACATCACCATTTCATGACCTCATAAGCGTCTCACGCCAGCCAATTAGATGTCATCCTGCTCCGCTCGCTCTCTAGAGGAAACCCACCTGCTGACGATCACTTCCTGTGGAGAGAAAACTACATCACCAAAGTGTTTCATCAGCAGGCAACCCTAAACCCCGCCCCCATTACTAGCAACTTGGTCATTGAGGCGGAGCTTCTATTCATCAGCTCGGCTGATTGGCTGCTCTGCTCCGGTCTCACTCTTTATTTGCAGATGGCTAACGTGGCTAACGGGTAATTGCTCTTAGTTAAGTAGCTCATGCTAACATGCTAACATGATAGCAGGTCGATACGTCAGTGTTGCTGAAACAGCTTCACTGACCCCTGACACTCCTCAGCGTTGATCAGTGTGATGGACGCTAATCAGCTGTTACTGGCGGGTGGAGCTGCATGAAGTTGACCTAAAAACCGAAATGTTGGGATGGAAGCAGCTCCTAACCCTGGGTTTCATCTCCATGGCAACCACTGCTTCCACATCCATGTTCTACGGCTCATCGGGCTCTCAGGTTCAGAGGCAGCGTCTCAAAGGTCACGTTCCACACTGGCTGCAGGACTGTCTCGGGGTGTGATTCAGGGTCTCGTCCTGGTGGGACACGGTCAGAACAACAGGGAGAACGACGCCGCTGCTAGGATCTGACATCAGCGTCTGAATGGTGCACATCTTGAATCTTCACAGGCCTGAAGTTTAGGAAGAGCAGAGGCTTCACTTAAAGTGTCAGAGCACTGATATGTGGTCAGAGGTTTCATGTGTGTCCAATGAGGAATATCTGACCTGAAGGACATCAGCATCAACAATCCCAGGAAGTTGATTCTTTTCATCTGGATGTACCGTTTTTGGTGGGAGGAGCTAACACTGGGTTCATGATCAGTTGATTTATAATGCACAGACTAACAGTCACAAAGCGAGACAGGTACGGGTACGAGTTTGGTGCCCGTTCAAAGGGTCGGGGAGCTGCAGTCAGCTGAAGAAGTCACCTGATAATGACGGTTCTCCCACTGACTACATCCAGGTGAGCAGAATCAACATTTTCGGATTTCCTCCCCTGAATGATTGAACATCAAGACACGACAGGGAGTTCGAACATTTTGACTTCTCCTCGTCTAAAATAAGTCATTCCAGCTCCATGTTGTCCTGCTCAGAGGAGCTCCATGAATGGGTCACGCACCTGCCTACAGAGTGAAAGGTGCCAGTTCGATGCCTTTAGAGTCGGTCATGAAGAAATGTCCCAAACAAAACGCCACGGCGCCCCCCCACGCTGCTGTGTGCAGAAGGCATCAGCTCTGCATAAGTCACAGATCAAAATAATCCTTCTTTATCTGATCCTGTTTTAGCTTTTGGGAGCTGTTTTAGCCCCCCCCCCTATTATCGATAGTTTCAGTTCTGGTTTCTTACCTGGACCTTCAGCCTTCTCAGACACACAGGTGAGTCCAGCTCAGCCTCTGATAGGTCGGCTGGATAGATGATGTAGCACAGCATCAGCTCCTGTAAGACAAACACAGGCGGTTCTCTGAGGAAACCAAGAGCAGAGAGTTCGGTCCACGCGGGATCGCTCCGATGGCGTGTACCTTCGACACGTTGGCGGTAATCCTGCTGAGAGCTGCCAGAGAACGCCACGAAAACGGGCGCAACGGTGAGGCCCTGAATGCATCGTCAGCCCGTTCAATTACCACAGAGTAGCTACAGGAAGAGGATGGAGACAAAGTTATGGACCCTAAGAATAATCAGAGAGGTCAAAGGTCACGAGTTTAAAACAGAAAATATCTGAAATACTTTGAAAGCAAAGATGCTTCCCAAAGATACGCCTCCATAGAATCACCGCTGTGTGTGTGTGTGTTTGCTACCTGGCGTGGTAGAAAGGTGGTCCTTTCCTGTACAACACTGAAAACAAACACAGCATGATCAGATATCACACCTGGCCAGTCATACTTTAGACTCCGCCCATGAGTTTAGGCTCCATCTCTGGGGTTCATTCACGTTTTCTGACTAATAGCAACTAGAGCAGGGCCAAAAATATTTATCATGATATATATTTGAAAATTTACAATAACGATATAACTGACGATATAATTGATGTGAGACAAAATACAACTCCACAACTTTACTAGCACAAAAAACAAACATCCATTTATTTTCACTTAAAAAAGCAGCTGTTTTTTGTGCATTAAAGCTATGTAAAGATTTAACAGTGCAAATGCAAATTCCTTGCTGAAAGTTTGACCAAAAGGCATTTCCAGTAGAAATGTGCTGACATATCCTGAGCATAACCATGTATAATATCCACTGAAGTTAAAAAGAGCTGCTTTGCAATATTAAACTGCAGTGTGCCAAATAAAAACGTCAAATACGTATTTTTTGGACCATAAAGTGCACGAGATTATAAGACACATTAAGCGAAACAAAGCAGTCAGATAAATCAAACTCCGTTTACAGCATCCTGCCATGTGATTACATTTGTCTCTAACCATCAGGAACCTTCACGTTAGCTTTTATCCAGTGGAAGAAAGTTAGCGTTCATCCTCCAGTTTCACTGTGTTTATGCTAACATAGCTGTGTTGCTAGCAATCACGTAGCACATCATTATCTATCAGCTAGCCCAACTTCAGTAACCCTACAAACGTCACTGCTGTTTAGTTTTCTGTCTTCATCTATGTTGGAAGTGATAACAGAGCTGTACGTTTGAATGCTTCAGAAATCTCTCAGTCAGAACATGCTATATCATGTTTAGGTGGAAGCTAGCGAGCTAACTTCCTGTTAACTTCTAACGCCGTTAAATGTAATAAATCCTGTTTTCATGGATGCCTGGATGTTAAACTTGATTGTTACACCTGGTAAAGCAGCAACGCTGATCATTTTATTACCGATGAAAGAATTTAGACCGTTTTTAACTCTCAGTGATGCTGCAGTGTTCGTTTGACTTTGGAACCTGAAGAGACGGAGTTTAGGACCCAGATTACTCCCAGATTTACGAGCACCTTAGTCCGACAAATACCGCATGTTCTACAAAAATGTGCTTTGTTGTGTATCTGATGGACAAACAACAAACCAGTTCCACATCACTGAAGTGGCAGCATCTTTACAAACCAATTCTGGTTCATCTGTTTTACTCAAAGATCTGCCGTGCTTTTTCAGCCATGTGCATATGAAAACAAAGGCACTGCGCGTTTTACCCATATTCTATCGCCATGTTTTCTTATTGTTGCCTAACATTGTACCGGTGTTACCGTGAACGGTATGATATGACCCAGCCCTAATAGCAACCCCCGCCCAAGTGTTTGTGTGTTTGTCTTACTGAGGTCTACGCCATACTTGGCTCCGCCCCCTCCTTTAGGGACCCACCCCTTGCTGCGGAAGTGATGATAGACTGCATAGGAGCTGACGAAATCAGGACGCAGGGACCGAAACGTCCTCCACAGCTGCACGATGGACAGGGGTTCCTGACCAATCAGAGGTTAGTAGAGCAATAAGGTCAGAGTGGGAGGAGCTTTGAGTGAAACACATGAGGCGGAGAGAGAGAGACAGTTACCTGCTGCAGGTAGACGGACAGGCAGCCCAGACTGTAGACCAGGAAGAAGGCCTGAGGGCGACACAGACAAAGAACCTGAACCTGCTGTGACCCCAACAGCAGCTCTGAACACCTCACTGACACCTCAGCTTGTTCAGGTGGAGCCGGAGCTCCACCTGAACCAGCTCCACCACCAGCTCCACCGCTGTCAAACCTGACGGAGCTGAGGATCGTTGGTAATGTAGGGCCTGCTGTGTGTCTGACACCCCTGGAAGTAACTGTGAAACCTGCTCAGTGCAGCTGAAAGCCTGAAACCACACAACCTTCAGACAACCATCACCTTTATCTACCTGTGGGAGTGGATGATGCTGTCGTCGTGGAGGTGTCTAAATTCTTTCATCGGTAATAAAATGATCAGCGTTGCTGCTTTACCAGGTGTAACAATCAAGTTTAACATCCAGGATCCATGAAAACAGGATTTATGAAATCCAACAGAGTTAGAAGTTAGCAGGAAGTTAGCTCGCTAGCTTCCACCTAAACATGATGTAGCATGTCCTGACTGAGATTCAAACGTACGGCTCTGCTGACACTTCAGACATAAATGAAGACAGAAAGCTAAGCAGCAGTTTGTAGGGTTACGGAAGTTGGGCTAGCTGCTATATGCTGATGTGCTACGTGGTGGCTAGCGACACAGCTATGTTAGCATGACATAAACACAAGAAGAAAAACAATATCTGAACCTGAAGTTCTACTTAAACAGCTGTTTGCTCAACTGGAAACCCCCCCATCCCCCACCCCCACACACACACGTCAAAGACGACTACATGAGGAAAACGGTGCATTACCTCCTCCAGACTGAGCTGCAGGTACTCGGAGAGAAAGAACGGTGTCCGCCTCACCTCCCTGACCCCGCCTCCAGTCTGCGCGTACACACACAGTGATCAGATGTTAGCTCCAGCTTCCTGCGATCATTAAAACAAGGACTTTTTTCCTCCTCCACCATGAAGACCCACCTCACCGTCAGAGACCACCAGGAGGAAACCAGGACCAGGAACCAGAGGAGCCGGCTCAGGATCCGAGTCAGGATCACAGTCCAAGGTGGAGTCGGAGTCCTGTTCTGAGCTGGAGCTGTTCACAGAGATCACACAAACTGAACTGCATCATCTGCATAAACCTAGACCACCTGACTGTGCTGAGAGCCATAACACGAGGAGAAACCACATGGACCCGTTTATGAACTTTGACCTGAATGCCATTGTCTGCCTACACAGATGTTTAGAGTCAAATTACTGACAATAATCGGCCGAATTCAGCCGAAGAAGCAACGACATATTGTTTTACTTTTAGGTTTTATTTGTCCTCTCATGTTTGTCAGGTAAATGAAGCAGAATCTAAAATTGACTGATTTTTAAATGGACCCTGGCAGTGAAACAAAACACTCTACCTGCAGCTTCTCTTGGCCTCCGGCTCGACCTCTGACCCCCGTCTTGACCTCTTCATCTGGGGGCTGACTCCTCCTCCTTGCTCCGGCTCCTCCTTCCCCCTCTCACCGTTCTCCTCTGCCTCCCCCTCCCCTCCCATCTGGTTCCTCACATCCTCCATTTGTATTGGCTGAGAAAGCCTGAGCAGGGTTTGATGAACAGCCTCTTCATCCCATCCCTGAGCAGACAGAGCTGACCCCACCCACTTGAGCAGCTCCTCATACCTGTGAGGTAAGAGGTGACATCACTGTGTGAGCAAACGACAACAGGAAGTGGTGCGATTAAGAATATAGACAGGAAGTGGTGTCACTAACCTGGCCTGTGAGACCACAGGTAGAAACACGCCTTCGTGTTCTGTAACAGAAACAGAGACCAGCTGACTCCAGAGAGCAGCCCTGATTGGAGGAGGCCGGAGATGATGTCATTGTGCAGGTGTAAACTCACGCTCCCATTGGTTGGAGATGCTGTGCTCCGGTCTGGATCTGGACAGAACCCCTTTACCAAAGTAACCCTGAAAAGAGCACAGGTGTTCAGCTGTCAGCACCTGGCTGCACTAAGGTGGATACAGGCAGAGCAGTGGGCGGGACTAAGCCTCTTTCCAATTTGATTGGCTGAGCTGTGAGCACACATGAATGATTGTCATCTCTAAAACCTGTTTCAGTCCAGGGCGTCGCTGTGGACGACTATAAATCCCTCAGAGTACACACTAAACTGGACTGGGTTTTAAACACCTCTGCTCTCTACAGGAAGGGCCAGAACCTCTGGGGTCCTTCAACATCTGTCTGACAATGCTCAGGATTTTCTATGCGCCTGTTGTGGTCAGCGCTATCCTCTGTGCTGTTGCATGCTGGGACAGCAGGTTGAGGGTCGCAGACGCCAACAGACTGAATAAACTGATCACAAGACCAGTAACGCTGTGGGGACGGAGCTGGGCTCCGTTAGGGTGGTGTCTGAGAGGCGGGTGTTGTCCAAGATAAAGACGATGCTGGACAATACCTCCCACCCACTCCATGACGTGCTGGCCTGTCACAGGAACACGCTCAGTGGGAGACTGAGATTACCCATAATGCACCACTGAATGACACAAGAAGTCATTCCTGCCTGTGGCCATCTCTGTGCAACTCCATCTAATACACACACATGGTGGAGTCGTTAGTGTTTGCACGTCCTCCACAGTGAAAACAACGTTTTACAGGTTGAAAAATGTCAATCATGTATATTTAATCTCAGTAATAATCTGGATATTTATCATTGAGCTGTTTGTTTAGTAGTGCTATTTCTTATTTTTTGTGACTTTGTAATATATTGTATTTAATTTATATATTTAATTTAGTTGAGTCTTTTATTGTTACTCTTATTAATAAAGGATTCTGATTTAGTCATAAGTGCATCAATTCAATTTTATTTATCCAGCGCCAAATCACAACAACAGTCACCTCAAGGTGCTTTATATTGTGCAGTAGATCGTACAATAATGGGTACAGAGCAATCATGTGACCCCCTATGAGCAGCACTTTGGCGACAGTGGGAAGGAAAAACTCCCTTTTAACAGGAAGACACCTCCGGCAGCAAATTGCTGATGCACCTCACACTGCACCTGCTGGTCAGGATGTGACGTCAAATTGTGCGCTCGACACCAGGACCGGCGACAAACCAACTCTATTTCAGAAAGACACAACTTGTGTCCCAGCGGCCGGTGCTCACTGGAATAATTAATCATACTGGGACCTGGAGTTTGGACCTTACCATAGAAAACTCCTGTTAGCCAACACAGTAAAGAAAATTTATTTTAAAATCAAATAAAAATCATTCATCGTTTTGACCCCACCAGAACTTTTCTTGTACGATATAAAAAAGACTGATGTTAACTGAAAGAAGAGATTCCTCACGTGTCTTTGTTTATGTTCTTTCCTGGCACGATGTCTGTGCCTTTGTTGTTTCTATGATCTGTTCTGACCGCTCTATTTGTTATGGAAAAATATTGTTTGGCTTTTTTGACCCTGGAAATGAAGCAAACGAAGTTTATTTGATTCATTTACTAATCTTACTAAACCTCGTATACATCAATCCAAATTTTCTAATGCAAACATTGTGACAACATTCCCATAAAGCTGCTTGTTCGATGTTGTTTCAGCCCCAGGTTGTGTCTAACGGTCACTACACGAACCCCGTGACCGTCTGCGCCCGTGTTCTCACGCGCGGCTGTTAGCTCTGCAGGAGATGGGAGGGGCTCAGGTGAGGTGGGTGTCGTCAGACCTGGTCGTGGATCTTCTGGCTGTGTTCCGGATCACAGACCAGCACGTGCTGATTGAGGAGCTCTGCCTGGAAGTGGCTCCTCTCGCGCGGGCTGAGCGGCAGCGGAGCCTCGAGCTCCTCGGTGACCCGGAGGCGGCGCCGGGGAGCTCGGAAGTCCGCGTACATGCTGCTGGGGTCGGACCGGGACTGCGGGTTTGGCACTGCTAGTTGTTAGCCTCCGCGCGGTTTGTTTGGCTGTGGCTTCACCGAATCTCTGTCCGACAGGAACTGTCGGTCTCCTCCGTGTAGTTCCGCCTCCAGTTCTTCTTCTTCTTCTTTCCCGTAACCCGTTACCGCCCCCTGCGGGCTCCTGTCATCCTGAATCCGACGAACACTTCCTGTCAGGCTAAAAACGGAAGCTGTCCCTCCGGTAATGAATCGATCCATCCACGCTGCCAGCACCACCTGTGAGGATGCGCTCCATCCATCTGCCACTAAAGCCTCTGAAACAGGGGCGGATCTACGAGGTGGCACCCTAAAATGATCTCTCGACACCCGTACTGCCTCCCTGGGTTTGCATGTGATAATGTTGTTTATTAAAATAAGTTAGCATTAACACTTTGAGCCAGAGGTGGGACCAAGTCATTGTTTTGCACGTCTCAAGTAAGTCTCAAGTCTTTATCCTCAAGTCACAAGTCAAGTCTCAAGTAAAGTCAGGCAAGTCAGAGTAAAGTCACAAGTCACTGGTGTAAAAGTCTGAGTAAAGTCACAAGTCTGGAACTTTGAATTTCAAGTCCTTTCGAGTCTTTAAAAGAAATGAAAAAATATTGTTGCAGTTATATGCTAAATGTAAATATTAGACCATGTGATTTTTAAATCTGTTTTTCTCAACACATGACGAAATAGTGAACTTAGAAAATATACACAAATTGTGAAATTGCACCTCTATAAAATGCAGCTCAATTAAACTTAGCTCCAAGAATAATTTTCACCGACAGTTCTGAGATAAGCTGCATGTTATTCTTGGATGCGCTTGTAGGGCCGGCTTTAAAATTGCATGACAGAAATATCATACACATTAAAAAAACTGTCACCAACGTAGCCTGGACAACATTTGCTAGATAGATGAAGTCAGCTATCTCATCGTAGCAAAAGAGAACCTACCGTTCTTTATGCAACTTCAACTGTCGGAGAAAGTTGAAATTGTTCCATCTCTGTCTGTGATTCTCTTCTTGCATGTTTTGCATTTCGGTTTTTTGTTGACTACTTCATAGTTTATGTACCTAAAAAAAAATAACATTTTTGAGCGTTTTTTTTTTTTCTTTTTTAAAAAAATCTGGTTAGTTTGATTGGCTGTGCTACAGCTCACGTACACATACGTACGGAGGGTGGTTTGAATAAATGATGCACACTTTCTATATAATATGAGTGTAAAATGTTATATTTGGGGTGAAATATTAAGTCTTTTCAAGTAAACCGGTTCAAGTCCAGTTCAAGTCCCAGGTCACTGATGTAAAAGACCAAGTCTTAGAGCATTTTTTCAAGTCAAGTTTAAAGTCATAAAATTAATGACTCGAGTCCACACCTCTACTTTGAGCCTAGCTACAAGGTAACACTAAATATAAATAGTAAGACATATCGTGTAATGTCACCCAGAGCACATTTTGAGCAGGCTACTAAAACCAGAGTTATAGAAATGATAATTTTTTTAGAGCGAGATAGAGGGATATGGACAGCGAGTCATGAGATGTGAGAGATTTGTGATGTTTGTCATGTTTGGAGTGTGTAGTTCGTGTGTTGTGTAGTCATTTGTTTTGTGTGTCAGTGAGGGCACTTATGAACGTCACAAAGGCAGACTGTAAACTCTGTGTCCAGGACGAGTGATCCACTTCCTGTGGTCAGACCTGCAGGTTTATCCCTGTGGGGGTTCTCCTCTGTCTTGTGGTGGACAAACTATGTTTTGTACTGTGGGGCATCTTATTGTGTCACCTGATTGTTCTTTAATTTTAGTTTTAGGTGTATTCTTAAAAGGTTGTACCAACATCACCAGATGCATCGGCTGCACTTTTAGGTCTGTAGTTGTGTAAAACTTTATTGTTTATCAAATTTGTGCATAAGTTTTTAAAATAAAATGAACATTTTTATGTTCTTGTGTGATTTCAGGTCAGTTGTAGGTTGTGCTGCAAAAACAATGAAGCAGACAAGGTGATAAAAAAGAATAATAAATGTAAAATCAAACGTAGTTAAAAGTGAGCCGTTACATCCTGAAGCCCAGCGGGTTATTTTCTGTGTAAATCTAAGCAAACATTTCATTAATTGTAATAAAAAGAGTGAAACTGAAGACTTGTGTTTGTAACTGAACCATGTTTTGCAGCTTTCTGGATTTTATACTTATTGGGCTGCACATTTATTTATTATACAGGCTAAACCAGGGGTCGGCAACCTTTCTGATGATGAGTGCCAAATTTCCTCAGAAGTCAGTGTGCCATATGACTGCATTAGCAATAGATTTAATAACTCTCTATATCAACAGTTACTCACTATATAGAACCACTTTATAGGATTATATTTGAATATTTGTTGGCAGATGTTGGCAGCTGTCCGCGAATAGTTATCAGCTATTTTGAAACAAAAAAATACTTTTTCTCCATAACAGCAAATAAACTGTACAACAGAAAATGTAAATGCTATTTATGGTCTCCTCACATCAATGATAATAAACAATATGACATGTTTGTTAATAGAGACACATGTTAATGTGATCTCTGGTCTCCAGCATTCAGACCTGACGACAGTCATGTGAGAGAAAATCTGCTCACACAGACATGTAGAGCCAAGGGGCGATTGTGGCTCGCATTGTAATCGGAAGGTTGCCGGTTCGAGCCCCGGCTCCGACAGTCTCGGTCGTTGTGTCCTTGGGCAAGA